AGCGAGGGAATGCCTACACTGCAGGTGGGAACCTGCCTCCTAGCCCAGGGGAGATAATCACATGCTAGCTCTGCTCAAACTAGCACCCTAAAAAGAGTAGTGTGGATGTTTACAGCAAAGGCACTGGTATGGATTAGCCAGGCAAGTGCGAGCCTAGTCACAGGCTTGCTTTCAGGTGGCACCAGATCCACACTGATATTTTTAGTGCTCGATCTCAGAGAGAGCTGGCTCATCAATCTAATTAGGCTGTCTACTAGGGATGTTAAATATCGGATAACTGAATAGTGGATTAACCTAATCAATTCTTATTGGTTAGTTGACTATTTTATAATCCCTGGGGGCAGGGCTGGCAGACAGTGTGCTCAGCCTCAATGCCTGGGGAGCCCTCTGTCACCCTGCATTGCTGCCTTTCCACCAGAGGCAGCAGTGCTGGGTGCCAGGTGGAAGCTGATCCACGAGAGGAGACAGTTTAAAATCCAGCTCCCCCTCACAGACCACCTGCCTGCCATCCCACACTATAGCAGCCTCTGTCTGGGGGTGGGGTCAGAGCTCCCACACCCAGCGCAAACTGGAATGAAGCTGGGCTGCCTGCCTGCTAATACCCCTACTGCAGATATGCATTTAAAGTGTAAGTCCCAGACCTGGTGGTGCAAGCTGGGACTCAGCCATGCTGCTGGCCAGCCTGCTAAAAAAGTTACTGCTTGGGGGGGGGGAGGGGGAGAGAGACCTTGTAGTCTATAGCATTGACCAATAAGCTTACAGACTAACATGGCTACCCCCTGAAACAATGGAGCAGGTAATCTAAACTGGTATCCTGCGATTGCACAGATCCCTCAGGCATGGTAGTGGGCATGGTGAACTATCAAGACCCACAAGTCTTCAAGTAGTTGCTCATGGTAGGCTAGCAAGCCATATGGACTGCAGAATTATATACGAAAGGAAAGGAACTTCTGAAAAAGTGTAGCATGTAGGAATGCATGTCCACAATATCTAGCCTTCTGGTTTTACTCAACTGATAGGCAACCTGCTGAGCTGATGGAAGTTTTACCACATAATATTGCACACTGTCCTCCACCGCTTCCAATAGGGCTCTGTACATTCTTGCCCATGTGGCTGATGCATTTTCAGAGCCATTCAGAGGCATGGATTTAGATACCCTTAGCCAAACGAACCACAGTACTGGATACAGGCAGTCCCCGGGTTACGTACAAGATAGGGGCTGTAGGTTTGTTCTTAAGTCAAATCAGGCTCTGGAAGAGAGTACAGTAGGTTGGAAAGTTTGAGATCCTCTGATCTGCAGTATAAACTGATGAATACAGTAGTTCACACTTTGCCAACTGGTCCACCTTTTAACCTTGCCTGTTCTGTACATTATACATGTGTCTCATGATTATGTGAATAAGAGCTGAGCTTGTGCATTCTCTATTGTGTGCTCTTGTTGAGTACACATCTTGAATTTTTCTTTGGATTGCAGGAAAAGTATAGAGAACTCATCAGATGTTGTAGAACATGGTATCAGGTGGTCCATCTTAAAATGAAAGGTGATTAACTGTACTTTGAAAATGCTATTTGGAGGATTCTGACACACCTGATGGTCTTTTGCTGAGCCTAGATTCTACATTTTCCGTACTATAGAGAATGTACACTAATAAAGGATGTAGAATATTAAGCCAAATGTTGCATGCTTTAACAATAGCATGCCCAGCTAAACAAGTGTAGAGAATTAGTAAAGAGTAATTTCTGCAGAAAATAATTGAGGCTGGAAAATACATTCCAATTCTCTTGAAGAACACTCATATTTTGTGCAGGTGTAAAAGGCTTTATAACTGTTTGGGGCAACTTAGATGCATAACTGATGTGTAAATTGAGATGTATAAATACAGGCAGTCCCCGACTTACGTCAGATCCGCACTTACAAACTGGGATTTTCTCGCCCCGGAGCTCACGGGCGGCGAGTCGCCACCCGTGTCCTCTGGGGCGAGAAAAGCTTCTCCCGGTCTCCCTGGTCTGCTGGGGGGGTCCAGCAAAGCCGCTGGACCCCCCCAGCAGACCAGGGAGACCGGGAGAAGCTTTTCTCGCCCCAGAGGACACGGGTGGCGACTCGCCGCCCGTGAGCTCCGGGGCGAGAAAATCCCAGTTTGTAAGTGCGGATCTGACGTAAGTCGGGGACTGCCTGTATTTATACATCTCAATTTACACATCAGTTATGCATCTAAGTTGCCCCAAACAGTTATAAAGCCTTTTACACCTGCACAAAATATGAGTGTTCTTCAAGAGAATTGGAATGTATTTTCCAGCCTCAATTATTTTCTGCAGAAATTACTCTTTACTAATTCTCTACACTTGTTTAGCTGGGCATGCTATTGTTAAAGCATGCAACATTTGGCTTAATATTCTACATCCTTTATTAGTGTACATTCTCTATAGTACGGAAAATGTAGAATCTAGGCTCAGCAAAAGACCATCAGGTGTGTCAGAATCCTCCAAATAGCATTTTCAAAGTACAGTTAATCACCTTTCATTTTAAGATGGACCACCTGATACCATGTTCTACAACATCTGATGAGTTCTCTATACTTTTCCTGCAATCCAAAGAAAAATTCAAGATGTGTACTCAACAAGAGCACACAATAGAGAATGCACAAGCTCAGCTCTTATTCACATAATCATGAGACACATGTATAATGTACAGAACAGGCAAGGTTAAAAGGTGGACCAGTTGGCAAAGTGTGAACTACTGTATTCATCAGTTTATACTGCAGATCAGAGGATCTCAAACTTTCCAACCTACTGTACTCTCTTCCAGAGCCTGATTTGTTTGTCTCTCCCCCAAGTTTCATCTTACTTACAAAATCAGACACACACATAATCAGGCAAACTTACAGAACATTAGTACAAAAAATTGCTTGTTTTCTCATTTTTACCATACCATTATAAAAAAGATCAAGTGGAATATAAATATTGGTCTGTATTTATATTTCAGTGTATAGTATAACACTGGAAATGAAATTTTACTTTGTACTGATTCTACTAGTGCTTTTCACATAGCCTGTTGATATACTGTCTTTGTGTAAACCCAGAAGTACACATACCTTGGCTGAAAACCACTGCTTTGTCAACCATATGTGCATAGCTGAAGCTCTGAACCTAACTGTGTACACATACCATGTGCACATCACATACAAATATTTATGGGTGTTTCTAACCTAAGGTCGTTAATACATGCCAAAAGTACTCATTGATGACTAAGGCCAAACCAAGTTTTATTAAAAGGAGCAGCAGCAGCAATTTGATTTGTAAACAGAAATGTCTGAAATGTTTCAGTCATGAAAAGAATGACACTGTTATTGTTACGTATAGATGAAGATAAATAGCATTTTACAAAGAGCTCCATTTAGGTTAATTAGATTTCACCTAAGTAAGCAATATTTTTAACAGTTGTAAAACTGGAAAACGGGCCTCAAGTAAGTGTTCCCCAGATTGGTTAAAAAGAACATTAACCAATGCTTTCTGTGTGATGGTACTACATACCTCCAGACACAGTACCAGCACCTCCAGGCAGAGCTCAACAACTTTTCCCGTGGAGTACTGGTACTTTTTTTTTAAAATACACAAAAAAGCACTGACACTAACCAAAATACCACTTTAAAAGCAGTTTTTACAAATAGTTAAGTTAAATATCTAAAACCAGAAAATTTCAAAACATGACAAAATTCAATTTTAATCAAGTTTAGAAATAAATCCCATTGTTTATCCCAATGTTAATGGAGCATGAAGATATTACACCATCGGACACAGCATCATTTAATGTGAGCATGTAAATTTTTCTAGCCAGAAACCAAATAATAATCTGGATTCAAATGAAGTTAACTTCTTCAAATTGCTACTTGACATTCATATTATAAACTTCCAGAGACAAAACTCTTTGAGGGCATGTCTACATTAGGAAATTATTTTGAAATAAGAAAATTTGAAATTAGTCCTGAAATAACAAAATCGAAATAATGTGTCCCCTATTTAAGGGAGCTTTGAAACTAGTCCAAGGCAAGCTCCATGATTGGGGATGCTCTACCTCAACTTAGAGCCCCAGGAAAGCACAGGGGAGTAATTACTTTGAATTTTCTTAAAAAAACAACAACAAATAGTCTGGTAGCACTTTAAAGACTCACAAAACATGTAGACGGTATCATGAGCTTTCGTGGGCACAGCCCACTTCTTCAGATCATCTCTGGAGAAGTGGGCTGTGCCCACGAAAGCTCATGATACCCTCTGATACTGTCTACATGTTTTGAGAGTCTTTAAAGTGCTACCAGACTATTTGTTATTTTTTTAAGTTTACCCTGTACAAACTAACTTGGCTATCCCCGAAGCTTACTTTGAATTAGTCTGGGGAGTAGTTATTTCGAAATAGCAGCAGTGGAGTGTCCACACTACCACAATTTCAAAATAGTTATTTCAAAATAAGCGTTATGATACTGTCTACATGTTTTGAGAGTCTTTAAAGTGCTACCAGACTATTTGTTATTTTTTTAAGTTTACCCTGTACAAACTAACTTGGCTATCCCCGAAGCTTACTTTGAATTAGTCTGGGGAGTAGTTATTTCGAAATAGCAGCAGTGGAGTGTCCACACTACCACAATTTCAAAATAGTTATTTCAAAATAAGCGTTATTCCCCAAGGAAAGCAGAAGTTCAGATTTTGAATAACCAGCCCACTATTTAGAAATAAAGGGCTTGGTAATGTGGACTTGCTGCTCATTATTTTGAAATAACCGAGACTCCCTAGTGCAGACCGGAGCGGAGAAGACTTGCCAACAAAGTTCTCAGTTCTAACAACAAGGGCAAGACCGTCACCTTGCCGGGCCGCGCGTCGGGTGCGCTGTGGCGCAGGCAGCTACAGGCCCCTCACACGCAGCGCTGCGCGGGGCAGAGGCTCCGCGCTGACCGTTCCCTGCCGGGCAAGATGGCAGCGCCGGCCTGAGGGCTCGCGCCAGGCCTCACCTTGCTGGATGTCGCCGTTGGCGCCGCCCGGCACGGGCACGCTGAGCTGGCGCTCGGGCTCGGGCAGGCAGCGGCGGCAGAAGGAGTGCAGGCAGGGCAGCAGCTTGGGCTCGGCCTCGCGCCGGCTCTGCAGGCTCTGCGCGCACACGGCGCAGGTGTCCAGCAGCGACAGC